TGCATTGAGTCTCTTCTGTCCTAGGTCATAGAACTCTGTGGATGAAGGATAGGGCCTTGCTGCCAAACCTGCACGAGACTTAGTAGGACCAATCTCTACTCTGGTTTTTGGAGACCTGGGCATGAGCGGCGAGCGCTTGTTAAACAACTCGTCTAGCCCAATGACCGGTACTATCCGGCAGGTCTGCTCAGTTTCAGTGTAGAGGGTCCGAACTCTGAGCTGCAGGCTGAAACGGAGGCCGTCTTTAAGTGTTGAGGGTCTGCTGGAACCACTCCCCTACCAGACCAAGTAAGGCTGATGATCTGTGTCTGACGACTCGACTGTCCCGGGGGATACGAACCCTCCCAAGGACCGGTACAGACCGGCGGGCTGCTTGATGTGGCACAGTAGGCTGGAAAGGCTGAGTTGTGGGCTGAAAGCACAGGCAGAACCAAGCTGATCACGTCGTCCTGTCTGCGACGTTAAATAATTCTTGAGGAGTTACGGGGGATCTCCTTAAATGTCTCCAGATCAGCCACTGGTTCAGTAGTGACAGCCATAGCATAGGTCTAGGCTAGAGACCATAGTTGACAGGATCCCTGTCAGGATTCTGTAAGTCTTAGATTGAGTCTATAGGTTTGTCAGTTAGGGGTTAGAGTCTACGTGGTGCGGAGTGAAATCATCCTGATTGTGCACCTATCACCATGGTTGAGACCCGTACAGGGTTAGAGACTAATCCCTATAGTCAGGAGCAGCAAGAAAAGATGGCCGCCTTAGTCAGAGAGAACAGGGAGAGGAAAGAGCGTGAGAAGCAAGCGAAGCTAAAGGATATCGCAGACGAACAGGCGGCAAAGATGAAGAGATTGGAGGAGGAGATGAAGAAAGTACAACAAGAGGAGGAAGAAAGAAGAAAATTTGCTGAAGCAGAAGCGGCATCAGAAGAAGAGAAAGAGAGGATGAGGATTGAGAGTGGAGAAGGGAGTATTGGTGGCATGATGACGAGGGAGACAGATACTGAGATGGAGAAGAGGATCAGCGAGTGGGTCGCTAATTTATCGTTGGGAGAAGACGAGGAGGCGGAGTCCTATGTGACTAAGGATGAGAAGGCTGCGCTGACCGCTGAGCTAGCAGCCATGACAGACCCGATGGAACGAAGAGAGAGGGAAGACGAGCAAAAGTTAGCATGGAAGTTGAGAATGAAGAGGGAGAAGAAGAGGAGGAGAGAGGAAGTGAATACGATGACCGCAGCAGTGGCAAAGGTGCAGGAGTGTAGACCGGAGGTGCTGGCCCAACCADACGATAAGGCCAAGTGGGACAAAGTACTGGGGTACCTGGAGGTGTTGAGCAAGGCCTGGATGGAGGAGCGCCAGGCAAGCTGGAGCCAGGATGTGGCGTTGAGTGCCATGCGGTCAGGGTTTAGGAATTTTGCGCGCGAAATCGTCACCCACATTGGGGGCGAAGTCAAATAGTTGAGGGAAAACGTAGGGAAGTTTTGTGAGGGCGCCATTCAGGGTGCCAAAGCTGTAGCCGCTGTAGAGGGAGAGGCCAGACCCCGTAAGGACTAAGTGAAACTCAAGTTCCCAGATGCGTACGGGGGGAAGAAGGAAGAGAACTTTGACAACTGGGAAGCCAGTGTCAACAGTTATATTTACTTGCAACATATCCTAACAGAGGAGCAAGTCCTCGTGGCCTTCCAGGCCCTGAAGGACGAAGCGACTAGCTTTGCCAGGTCTCTCGCGCGTACAGCAGGTTGTGAAAACAACCTGGTTGCATATTCCAAAGTCACTCCTCTTTCCCAATTCCTCAAGCTCCTCAAGGAGCGGTTCGCTGACCCAACGCGAGGCATTAAAGCCTCTGGTAAGCTCCAAACGATCCACTCCCAGTAGTGGAGGAGTGCCAAGGCACTCAAGGGAACCATGGACGACTTGGTAGCCGTCCCGAACCACGGGGTCACTGAGCCCCAACTGGTCCAATTGTTTTATCGTGCCATTCCAGAGGCCTTATGCGGGCATTTCTTTGACAAATCTCAGCAGGCCGGCATGACTTACGATGTATTGAGTAGAGAATTCATCCTGTATGAGTCGAAGTCTATGCCAGTTACCACTTTCTGGCATAAGGACCTGGAGAAGGGGAAGAAGTGGAAAGATCGTACCATCTCGGGCCAAATCAAGGCCAAGGATCACTTGATCCTGACATTAGAGGAGGGTGGTATAGAAGAGGTCCCATATGATCAGATTGAGTGGGGCCTAGGGGAGGAGTACAATTGTGTAGGGCAGGGGAAGTCTTACGCTGCTGTCGCGGCCGGAGGGAGGCCGCAAGGTAGAGGAGGAGTCCAGGGCCAAAGGGGTCAGGCCATGGGAAGCCGAGGACCGGGCCCACAGGCGGTTGGCGGACAGGGAAACCGCCAAGCGGGAGGTAGGGGTCAAGGTCCCCCGTTAAATCGCCAGGGTAACCGGTCCCCACAACGAGGAGGTGGAAGGGCACCTCAAGGAGGCAGGCACCCAGGCTTGCCGCAGGGCAGGCCCTGGGAAGATCTGGGCTTGGACCAACACTTATGGCAGGAACGCGTGAACATGGGTCAGTGCGTATTCTGTGGTGACCCGGCCCACGTTATCAAATTTTGTCCAAAGTATAGACAGGCCCGTTGGGCTGCTCAGCAGGCAAAAGGCAGCCGCTTGTAGGGGTCGCAACTGCCCCTACTTCCATGCCATGTGGAGAAGTGAGCGCGCGCGAACAGGACACTCCCAACCCACATGAGCCTATGACAGAGGTTGCAGGCCCGTGCCTAGATAGCTGTCCAGAGACTGCTTGTGTTAGCGTCTCTTTAGGCACGTCCCTCACAGGTGTGGCAGAAGAGTTAAAGGAGAGGATGCCAGTCTGGGCCAAAATGAAAAAGGAGAGTAAGGGACAACTGATCTTAGTAGATGTAGAGGTGTTTAAGAGTAGAGTAGGGACCCTCATAGACTCAGGGGCTACCCGTAGTTATATTAGGCGTAGGGCGCTGAAGAAGCTGAGGCTAGGACTAAAGGTCCAAAAATTAGTAGACCCCATAGTCAGTGTCCTTGCAGACAACCACATGATGCGCGTTGAGGACTATGTAGAGGGAGTCCAGGCATATTTTCGCCTAGAGAAGGATGGGAAGGTGGAGAAAGTTCTCCATTCCCTGACTCTCCTCGTACAAGATGACCTTCCTTTTGATATAGTGTTGGGAATGGATTGGGGAGAGGCAGCAGGGGCCACACTTCATTTGAGAGAGCATGAGTGTAGGCTCCCTAGTCCAGCGGGCGAAGTTAAGACTGTCCGCTTGTTCCATGTGTCTGGTGTAGATAACACCTTGACACATTGTTGTCTCAGTGCTCCCGCGTTCGCGCGATTAGTCAGAAAGGAGCAGTTAGAAGATCAGGTCTTTGTAGTTTATGTTAGACCTGTCACTAAGGGCGAGGAAAAGGATAGTTCCACAAATCCAACAATTGCCAAGCTGCTGGAAGAGTTCCAGGATTTGACTGAGTCGCCGACAGGAGTAATGCCGCGACCCATCCAGCACAGGATAGAGATAGAGCCTGGCAGTAGAACTCCTAAGGGTGCAGTCTACAAGATGTCCCCTAGAGAGTTAGAGGAGCTCCGCAAGCAGCTAGACGAAATCCTTGAGAAAGGTTGGATCAGACCCAGTTCGTATCCTTTTGGAACACCCGTTTTGTTTGTCCCCAAGAAGGAAGGAGAGCTTCGTATGTGTATAGACTATAGGGGTTTGAACGCAATCACAGTGAAGAATGCTGAGCCGCTCCCATGATAGACGATCTTTTAGATCGAGTACAGGGTTGTAAGTATTTCTCTAAGATAGACTTAAAGTCCGGATACCATCAGATAGAAGTCCATCCTGATGATCAGTACAAGACTGCATTCCGGACTAGATATGGGCATTATGAGTTTATAGTGATGCCCTTTGGACTGACCAACGCGCCAACTACTTTTCAGCGTTGTATGAATGACTTGTTTAGACCATGGTTAGATAAATTTGTAGTAGTCTACTTAGATGATATCCTAGTCTTTAGTAAGACCCTCCAGGAGCACCAGGGTCATCTGAGGCAGGTCTTGGAGAAACTTAGAGAGGCTAACTTCAAGATCAACACGAAGAAGTGCGAGTGAGCCAAGACGCAAGTCTTATATTTGGGCCACGTGTTGGACGGAGATGGCATTAAGCCAGAGGACAGCAAGATTTCGGCGATCAGAGATTGGCCGACGCCCCGCACATTGACAGAGTTGTGGTCGTTCCTAGGCTTAGCTAACTACTACAGGAAGTTTGTGAGGAACTTCTCCACTATCGCTGCTCCCTTGCGCAGGTTGTTGAAGAAAGAGACAATCTGGCAATGGGATAAAGACTGTACATCTGCGCTCAAAAAGTTAAAGCGCGCGTTAATAGAGTATCCTGTCCTCAAGGTTGCAGACCCGTCCTTGCCATTTGTCGTCACCACGGACGCGAGTCAGTATGGGATAGGCGCCGTGTTGCAACAAGATGACGACAATGGCTATAGACCCGTAGAGTTAATGTCCTCGAGGATGCCTTCTAAGAAAGTTGCTACCTCCACGTACGAAAGAGAACTCTACGCCCTCAGGCAGGCTTTAGACCATTGGAAGTACTACCTGCTTGGGAGGCACTTCAAAGTCTACTCGGACCATGAAACACTTAGATGGTTGAAGACCCAGACCAAGATGACACCTAAGTTGACCAGGTGGGCCGCAGAGATAGACCAATTYGACTTTGAGCTCAAGCCAGTGAAGGGCAAGTACAATGTAGTGGCGGATGCTCTAAGTAGGAGATCAGACTACTTTGGAGCCGTAGTACATTATCTGGATATAGGGAGAGACTTGCAGGAGAAAGTGAAACAAGTGTATACGCAGGACCCTATCTATAGCGACCTCCTAAAGAGAGTTAGGGAAGCCCTAGAGACCGAACCAGATTACCGCACTACAGACGGGTTGCTGTTTGAGAAGACTAATACGTTTGACCGCCTGTGCGTTCCCAATAGCGAAGAGATTCGTAGTCTAATTCTAGGGGAATGTCACGATACTGAGGGACACTTCGGTTGGCAAAAGACGTTAGCCAATCTAATGCGTGCGTACACATGGCCAGGGATGAAGAATGACTGCATAGAGTATGTCCGCAGTTGTAAAGTATGCCAGCGAAACAAATCTACTACACGCGCGCCCCTAGGTCTTCTCAGACCCTTGCCTATTCCGGATCAGTCGAGAGACTCCGTGTCCATAGACTTCATGGACACGCAAGTCAAGAGCAGACATGGTAAGAGCCAAGTCATGGTCATAGTCGACCGTTTTAGTAAGTATGCAGTTTTTGTTCCTTTGCCTGCAGAGGCACGCACAGATTTAGTAATACAGAAGTTCTTTGACTTTTGGGTTAGTGAGAATGGAATCCTATTGTCAATAGTTAGTGATAGAGATAGTCGTTTCACCAGCCAGAACTGGCAAGAACTCATGAGAGTCTACRGATCTAAGTTGTTAATGTCGTCCGGCCGTCACCCAGAGACTAACGGTCAGACAGAACAGATGAACAAGATCCTACAGCAAGTTCTGCGCATGTATATTAGACCAGATCAGATCAACTGGGATGAGATGTTGCCCAAGGTCGCTAGTGCGTACAACAACAGCGTGCATCTATCCACCTGCCTCACTCCCAATGAGTTGCACAAGTCCTTTAGACCGCGCAGACCGTTCGAAGGACTGAACGGGGATCAGGACTGTGGCCGGTTCTAGAAGTCAAGGGCGGAGAGGATGGACTGTCCTACAGCATTGAGATTCCAGCACACCTCCACACATACCCTGTGTTCCATGCTTCAAAGCTGCTGCCGTGTGTCACTAGTCAACAGTTCCCTTCCAGGAGATCCATGATCCCACCGGATATGGATGGGACCTATGACATAGAGGGCATTGTAGAAGAGGATGTGTTTAGGACAGGAGGTAGAGGTCGTCCCCAGAAACAGTATAAAGTCCGGTTTGCCTATCAGGAACCGGAAGACGACCGCTGGTTCGCGAAAGCAGAACTTCTAGAAACTGCTCCCGACATAGTCAGAGCCTATGAGCGTGACAAGAAAGGTAAAGGTCCCCCCGCCTTGGACTGAAATTTTCTCGGAGGACCTCGAATTTAGGACGGCGGGAGTGAAACGGTTTTCATCTTTTAGCAGTAGCAGATGCAGTACCCAGGGTTCGATCCCTAGACCTCACCCTACCCATGTACAGTATCTGTGTAGACCCCGGGAATTGAACCTGTGACCTGTGTATTCATAGGCAGTTGGTAGGCCTGTCGTAGGTCCATAGGCAGCAGGGGTTCGATCTGTAGGTCTATAGCATAGGAGTCTTAGTGAATCCCGGAAGCTTAGCTGTAGACCTTCTAGAAGGTAGGCAAGTGGGCAAGTGGTCAAGTGGTGAGGCAAGTTTTGGACTAAACCGCAGTGCAACAGCAGTACAACGTTGGTAGGATAGCGGTGAGTCCACAGTCAGTCAGCAGAAGGTCCAGTCAGTCCCAGTCCGGTCCAGCAAGTACCACAGGGGGACTGTGAGCACCAAG